GTAAATACCGTTATCAGTATCATTAATCATAAGAATTTCCAATTGGGATTCTTTATACAAAGAATGTCAATGTGTCTAATGTACTTAAATGCAGATAATATACATTTTTAAATATCTAAAAACATGTATAATTGACTATTTTGAATAATGATATGTCACAATTATCAAATTCTATAGAAAATTAAAAGCAAAATACAATTCTCTTATTAGAGCCCTCTTCTCTCAGAAATCAGTTTCGGTCGAGGGACATTCAAATCATATGAAATTTTCATTATATGTTGAAGTTGTAGTGGAAAGGCTGTGGAAAAATTTTCAGCCCTGTACCATGACATTTGGAGAAGATATTCAACTAACAAAGATTTTAGGAAAACTCAATTGGAAATCAAATATCTTCTGTGAGCCTTCATTCTATTAAGTTAATTTTTTCTTTTTGAAGGAGTAGGTGAGACAGACCTTTTTTTCCTTTCTTTTTGAGTGAAGAACAGGGATGAGAGGTTCAATGTCTCGACAAGCTCTCAATAAATGGCTCCGTAATTATAAAAAGTATTCTTTTACATAATTCTAACAAAGCTTAATTAAAAAAAGCAGATTTTGTCATGTCCTGCATCTTGACATGTTCTTTCAAAGAAGAAAGCCCATTGGCTACAATGAAGCTCCTCTAAGAAAAAGAGGAAATTTTTTGGAATAAATGAGATGTCAAATAAAAATTCATGTTATAAAAGATGCAACCTCGAACAATCTTCTCATGCATTTATCTCCATTTTCATGTTTTTTTCGCGAAAATTGACTTTTTTTAGGTTGAAAGTTTAAAGATGTGTCATAGCCTGAACCTAAAGTTGGATAACAATCAGACATTATAAAATAATTTTTTTTCATGTTGTCTTTAAATGCTAAAACGATAGTTAAAAATGTGTTTTCGTCAATGCATTTCTTACAAATAAATTTCAAATGTATTTATACAAAAACATAAACATATGTAACATATTATTATAAAGGTTCTCCATTGACATTCGATACCCGAAACTATTCTTTATGTTAAAATGTACTTTTAATGACTTTTGAGTTTTCCTCAATCCCTACATAACACGAAACACGATCATGATATTATTTTTCATTAGAATAATGACACATAATGCAGCAATGGACTAAAGGATCAGTCGATGAAGGAAATTATTTCCGTTTATGGAGAAATATTTCACTTCATAAAGAGTTATAACGCATCCAGGACGAACTGGCATGAAAGAATATATAAATATGATATTAATACTTTTTCTTTAAAAAGAAATCGGTGTAGAACTTTTTTTTTGAATAAATTTCATTTCTATTTTCTATGACTTCTCCGTAGGATGAAAAGAACCGTATGATTATTATTTAAGATTTCTGCTTCTGACACTAGATATGAAGAAAGTAATTTGCCCTAGACATTTTATATTTCTACTTTAAAAATTAATTTCTTTTCGAAAGCCTTCTTAGGATAGAAAAAAAAGTAATATGATCTAGCCTATCAAATCTCCTGATTTTTTAACGTTTCTTCTGATTTCAGGAGGTGACTTTAAAGATTTTTTTCTTATTTTCAATTCTGACTGGTTCAATTTTAGTGACGATATGCATCAACAAAAAAGCACAGAAGAAAAAAATAACTGTAATAGTTAGAGGCAATCATGTTTTAGTTCATTTTCTTGACAGTAAAAATGCATTTTATTCACAAAAATGAGCTGTGATATATTTTCTGTGCTTGTTTCGAGTGTTTATAATAAGTCAACTTTCAATCATACAAAGTCTTTATAAAATGAAAAAAAAAAAAAGAAATCGAACTAGCAATCACCTTATTTGTACCGATATGAAAATTTGAATAATCAGTTATTCGAATTCTACAAAATTTCATAATTATTACTTCCTTAAACGATCAAGAATTGTCAAAGTGAATTTTTCTCCTTAGAAAAAAACGTAGTCATGCTGTCAACATCATAAGAATGAAGTTTACGATAATTTACTTTTCATTTTCAATTTTTTGTTTTTATTTTACTTTTTGTCATATCCTCATAAAATATTTATGCTTACTTTCTTTTCATCAGTAAACGAACAGATATGAGAATACCAGTACAGTAAAATACATTCGATCACAAAGATGTCTCGTAATCTCAAAAGAAAATTCTTGAAACAATAAATCTTGAGCGCTCTTCGATGACTATTCTAGTATAGTAATTGGAGAGAGCATCAGCAAATATGACATCATTTGATTTTGTGATGGTTAGCATGTGTTTCGATCGTTATCGATCAAGAAATCAACATTTTTCTAGTAAACGTCGTTTCGGAATTCGTAGTAAGAATTATTGCAAAAGATTCAATGAACTTGCTCAGTTCTATAGTGTTCAGCATTCTTCTAACTGATCTTTTTGTCAAATTTTTTGGTGGATGAAACCGTGAATCCGGTATTGTATTGCGATCGAAATAGATAGACTTATTAGAGATTTTCAGATATACACTTGATTACGTCTCTCTTTTCTTTATTTCACGTGTGAGATAATTATTCTTATGATTCATTTGATAAAGACGAGTTACAAGAGTTTTGTAACGGAGACCATTTTGCTTGCTTCTCTAAGAGAAAATTGTCTGGTACTTTCTTTTGTCTAGCCAAATTTCAAAAAAACTCTTCGGGTTTTCCACGGGATTTAAGGGAAAAAAATCTTCTGACTTCTAAAATTTAAATTATTCTACCTTGAATACGATTCATATCTAGTTACGTCTGTTGGATTTCAGCTAGTGAAAATAGAAATGATTCAAGGTTGCTTCTTTGTAAATATTTCATTTATTTTGTCGTAGTTGCATTTAAGTAATAGTAACTGATTTTTTTTTCTCAGACAATATTTCGTCTTGATTTCGTGGGTGGTAAACCCATTCTACTGGAAATGGAATAATTTCTTTGTTTTTGTGTATATTGGTCAATCCTGACATAAATCATATCATCCATTCACAATAAATGTTGTTGAGAAACTATTTTTAATAGATTGGGATTAAAATCAACATTTACAGTGCGAACTGTATTTTGATGGGTTGTATCACTACATTTTCTCGTTAGTATCAAAGTATCAATAGAATTGTATTGGTCCTATGAGAAAAGAATATAAAATAGATGTTGACTATGACATAAGAAGCTCACTGTGTACTAATCATACTTGGAGTTTGTTGCAATAACATCACGTTGAGAATGCTTGTGAAAGTGCTATTATTTCATTTTATGAGCACATGCCAATCTACTTGTTCATAGATGCCACTCGTCAATAACAAACTAACAATTATTAGAAATAATCGTATTTGTTGCGTGTTAATCGTAACCTCAAAGTCTTATTCTTTTTCAGAATAATAATAACTCCTGTAACGTACTTTTTATGTTAAGAGAAGAATGACATATATTCGCATGAATTATCTGATTGTTGAATTTATGTAGTATTCTGATATATTTAATGAACATGATGAATCTGTATTCAATCATTAAATGATAATACGAATATATTTTTATATTTATGATTATTAGATTGTCATCAACGAATTTCATCTATATAGTTGACTACATCATTTTGTTTTAATATTTATTATATCTTCATTGATAGTACTTATAAATGATTGATATTTTAACAGACAGTTATTATATAAATACATTTTTGTTCTATTTTTTTGGTTTATCTGCTTCTGAATAGTTTTAGTACGAATACAATTTTAAAATATTTTAAAATAAATTGCATATAAATCTGGTTAACTTGACTTAGAATAATGAATTATAATGCTTTCTAGTACATGCTCTTGTAAATTTGTCCAGGTTTTCTCTTCCAGAAGAACAATTTTAAATGGTTCGAAAATTTTGGACCCAACGAGCTCTAACAGACACATTGTATATAGCACAAGAACCACAAACTTGGAGAGGCTTAACTCGATCGTCGGATGAATGCTAACTCTTCGACTTTTACGCTGAATAAAACACTGATTTTATGTTTTTTTTTTCAAAAATTAGAATGTTTGTGAACAATGTCATCCCCTACTAATATTAACAACTTAGACTTTGAAATAAAGTCGAGTTAATCAAAATCTACTTCAAACGTTGTCACTCTTTATCAGAGATCAACATTTTAATGATGCATGTTTGATATACATTTTGTTTCAATTGACTCTAACTTAAATGCTTGCATATCGGTTGCTTTATGTCTCATACAGTTACTCATCTTCATATTATTTGGACAATTATATTAAAGTCAACAGAAGAAGTCTCAAAATATAATTTTAATTCGTTCTCAAATTGTAGTTTATCATCTCGGAGTCTTTCTTTTAAGATCATAGACACGCCTACAGATACAAAAAATTACTTTCTCTAATATTGTAAGACCAATGTTGCATACTATAACGTTGCTGTCACGACATTGAGGAGTCGAGATTGAAGTATACGGTCAAACTGAGTTATTCTTTATAGTTGGTGTTTAATTTCTAAGAGTTCACTGCGAAATATCATTGAAGAGAAACTGTTACAAGAGAAATTATCACTGATATATCATTTCTGGATTCTATTGATAAATTTCATAATAAAATGAAAACATTATATTATTCAAAAAATTGATTGAAAGACGATTAGAAATGAATTAATAATTTCAAAAATTTCTGTTTTGTTCGTAAATAAAAAGAAAACAATGAAATGATGTGGTCTTATCTTTATAATGTAGCATAGATTAAAAAAAAGAGGTCTTGCTGTTTGCTAATAGTGTCTTGTCTCAAACGAGTTTGATAAGAAATAAAAAGAAAATATTTACTTATACTATATACATAGTAACAAGCAAAAAGAGAGCAACATATCTTTTTTTTTGTCTTCTAAATAAATAATGATGGTCAGTAGTTCTACAAAATATTTTTCTACTGTTGTTTATTAAAAATATTTTGAAAAATAAATATATTCGAAAAAAAAAATATTAAAAGCTATTTAGTTTATTAAAGAAAAAGAATTATTCACTGTTTTCTTATTTGGCAAATTTTCCGAATAATAAAAAACCACCAATGATTCCGACAACTAATCCACCAACTACAAATCCAATCCAAAGTCCAGTGATTTTCGGACCTGAAGTTTTGATTATTTCTTTTTGTGAACTTCTATGTTGAACATTGAGAGAATTAGGACGTGCACGTAACGTAACTTGTGTTGTATTATATTTAACACGAAAAGCAAGAGTATCTGAATTAATAATTGTATCGAGACGTTCAATCAATACTTGTAAGCTTTCTTCTTGTAATGGATTTTCTACAGGTCCTGTACGTGGTGGGGCATCAAGTAATGTAAAAGTAACTAAAATATCATTATCACTTTTATCAACAATAAGCTTTGAAACTCGAATTGGTCGTACAAATAATGTAAATAATAATGTTTCAAATATATGAAGACGTAAATTATTTAAATTTTGCAATACTGGATATTTGTTATTATCATTTATTATTTTAAATGATAAAACAGCAAGACTGAAATTTTCTAGAGAAAAAAAAGTAAAAAATATACAAAAATTATTATGGAATTATTTTGTTTAGAAAAAAAAAAGAAATTTCTTACGAGCTGGACCTAAAGCTCTATAACAATCAGCTAATTCGAAATCAATTTCAAAGATTGTCATTGGACGACGACGATAATTAAAAATATCTTTAAATAAAAGTGAAAAACAATATATGTTATATTAATTAGTTTCTATTACTTGTTTCAAATGAATATACCAAACTACCATTGGTATAGCCTTTCAAGGTCATTTTCATTGGCATTGATCGGTCTACAGGTTCACCATTGATACTTGATGACCAATACCATTCTCGATGTTGAACTGTATTATCTGGCAAATATTTTTCACCGATCCATACGTGACACCAAACACGATCATGACATGGCTTTTCACCGGTATATTGATATGCAATATCATCCATTAAAAATAAATGTTGTGGAGAGCCCATTTGTACTAGATTTGGTTGTCCATCCACTGGTGAAGCATCATTAGACATTGGACTTATATCACGAACACTACATTGTCGTGTTGTATGATTATATTGATAAGTGAGACCAACTGCAAAATCATGTATTTCACTGTAATGATACCACCGGCGTGCACTGAATGGAGCAGGAAACCAAATATCGAAACGAGTGAATTGAAAGTCAGTATCATATAGAGCATGTGTACTAAAAATTGATGAATTTGCTAGTGGTATAAGAGATTCCGAATTTGAACTAACTCGTTCAGGAATATCTGATGGTATAGGTAATGTAGGCGTTCGATTAGGACAATATAAACCAGCTGGTGTTTCTAATGCTTGACGTTCTTCTCGACGACTGGGGTTTGGTGTAAAACGAAATACATTGTATGTATATGCGTCTATAATACCACTTTCATTTTTAACTTGAACATCTATTTGTAATATAATACTTTCATTTGCTGGTAAATAAGCTTGAAATTTTGTTACATCCGATACATAATATGTTGCATATACAGTTGCTTTTATATCAGGTATATAAAAACATGATATGAATTTATTCGTAGGAATACCACGTAGATCTTCATCACCAACATATTCATTACCCCATAGAAGATTCTCTCGATTAAGATAATCATAACCAAGTAAAATTGATGGCTTGACAGTAAGTGAATTTGGTAGAATAACACTAGTTTGTGAATTGTCTGTGATCACTTGTCGAAGACATACTGATATTGGTTGGTTATTAACAACAGCAGTTACAACCTCAAATTGTTCCTTAGTACCGAAATTCCAATAGACTTGTAGTGGTCCTATGAGAAAAGAATGTAAAATAGTAGTTGATTATGATATCAGAAGAAAACGGAATACTAACCATCTTTTGTATTTACTGCAATAGCGTCACGCACTGGTGAGAATGCTTGTGAAAGTTCCATTGATTCAGTGGACGAGACCAACTCGGTAATAATTTCAAACCTAGGTGGAACTTTTCGCCAATTGGGTGCAGGGCTAGTAGTAGGTCCCTTCGGACAAAAATTTGGATCTTGTGCATAGACGATACTCGTCAATAACAAACTAATAACTATTAGAAATGGCCGTAGTTGTCGCATATTGCTTGTATCTTTTGTGTCTTATTATTTAAAAATGGTATGTTGAATAATATTTTCACAATAATAATAACTCTTCTCAGTTGAGTTCTGTGATAAGCAAAAAAAAGAGATTTTTGTTTGCTTGCATTATCTTTGATAAGTGCAACGCTAACTAGGAATATCGTTTTTTACTCTCTTCTTAGCCAGCCATTTTGTATGTAAACGACACCGTGTAGATTGTTATCTATTTAATAATAAATTTGTCATCTCTCATCACCTAACATTTGCTCATCTATTTAAAGACTCTTAAAAAAGAAGAAAAAAAAAGAAAATTGAATTTTATTATACAACCAAATCAAATATGTCAGTATAAATCTTGACCTATGTTTATCACATGGATTCTAATAGTACTTGATTGACACCTGTTACTTTTAGCGATAAGCATCATCAATAGTTTTCTGTTTTATATGCCATGCATAACCTTGTTTTTTCGTATGAAGCATGCTTCAAATAATTATATATTGAGCAGAAAGATTTGTTCTATGAAGCAAATAGATTGTACAAACAAATGAGAGAAGACATTTGTAATCTATGTCTTTTTCTTTTTGCTTCTGTAAAGCAAAAGAACAACGTTGTTTTTCCAATGTGTGCAAAGCGAAAGCAAGAAATAAATCAATAGAATATATATATATATTTATTTATTCCATTAATGTTATGTGGATAATTCCGCTTCGATAATCAATAAAGAACAACGGCAAGCAATTCAGAAGAATTAATGTAAACTGAAGAAGATATGTATGCTCCTCGTGCGAAATTCGAACGTATTCATGTTACATCCCCAATAAAAGTAGCTGCTATTTTTTTAACATGTATTCATTGTCTTGGTTTATTTATTGCTTTTTTAACATCATTTTGGATTAAAACAAATGATGGTCATTATGGACCATTATTTAGTTGTGAAAAAGAGTCAGATTTGAATAATAATTTAATATTATCTATAAAAACTGAATGTCATTTAAATGGTTTTGGTCATGATATTATTCTTTTCTCGATGCCTCTCACAGCTATATTAGTTATTCTTTCAATATTTATTGGATTTATTTCAATTTTTACAGGAAGTTTATCATTTGTAAAAAATTCATTTTTAATTCGTCGTCGATATTGGTTATGTACAATTGTTTTACTTTTATTTGTTTGTATAATTGATTGGTTTATATTAATTTTTATTCCATTAAATTATCATCAACAAATTTATCATCTTCAATGGGCTTATGGTGTTCATTGTACTGCAACTATATTTATTTCTTTATCACTAATTACAGCTATTTTAATGCATAATACAGACGATACTCAATATATTGAAGGAATTGATGAATCAACAGTTGAAAAATAAACTAAATAAAAAAAAACTGTTTTTTTTTGCTTCAAATTAGATTTTAAATAAAATTTTCTATCTACAATTCTAATTTATTAGATCTTTTCAACAAGATTGTCATTACATATTAAAAATGATATTAATTTCGAAGAAATTTAATAAAGAAAAAATCTTGCACTAGTAAATCCTGTTTATTTATAATTAGATTTCGTTGAAATCAATTAAAAACTGAAATATGTTTTATTTATACTAAAATGAAATAATGATTCTTGTTTTTTAATAGAGAATATACGTGTCAGCAAAATGATATCTGAGCGCGTCTTCAATGTTCGATCAAAATAAGTGTTTCTTTCACTTATGATATTTTAACTTCTTTTTTGAACTGTTGATATTCAAGTATTTAAATTAAATTCTAACTCTGCTTTTTGTTAAAACATTACAATTTATACCACTGTATAAAAACCGTTTGCCTGGATATAGAATGTTTTGTAAATCATGAGAGACGACAAAATTAGTTTATATGTAAACAGACAAAAACTCATAATCGAATGTTTTTATATGAATCTTGAATACCCCTTGTCAGTCTTTCAAATGAGACATTATTGGATAATGACTTGTCTTGTAATAATATGATTATAAACATGAGAATGTGAGAATAAATTTTTCGCAATCGATCAACAAGATATTTAAAAATAGGAAAGAAAAATACACGTCTATTAATCTAGTTGCACAAAAATCTCATTTAAATATCATGTATTTGTTGTCTACCACTCTTGATTAATTTGCTTAGCCTCTTAGAAAGAAGAGGGTATCGTTAAACTATAAAATTGACTTCTCAAAATTCAGTTTCATATTTTCCAAATAATCGATATGGATGTCAGGACTTGATTGATGTTTAAATTAATCAGCTAATCTTCAACTGACTGACTCAAAACTCGATATTATCTATTTCATATAGAGTTGTAATATGCAGCACTCACTTTAAAAGTTTCCTTCTAGTTATATATTAAATGATAGCTCATTGTTTCCGCTATTGAATAGCATATAGGAATATGACAATGTTCTTCTTGCCCTTTTTTTTTCTCTTTAGATGACATTGTTCACTTCTGTATGTAGTATAATGGCATCTATGACAAAGTTTCTTTTCTGTGATGATATGTTACAAAATGATTCATCAGCTTCCACTTTCTTCAGAAAATCACCCTAATCCTACTTCTCAGAAAAGCATGGAAAAAATTAATTGAATAGAAACCTTGTTTGTATTACTTATCCAGCTATCATTACAAGTTTTTTAAGGTTTTTAAAAATTTACAATTATATTTTCATGGGTCGACTAACATTTTAACTCAATTTATGATTTGACGTATTTCTGAGAGAGATCAGGGTTAATATTTTTGAAGAAAAAGGAAAGTTGATTAATCATTTATGATTATGCTGATGTCAAATACATCATCTCGTTTGATAGGAAACTTAATTATTCCGATCAAATATCAGTCAAAAAGATCAATTCTTCGTGTTCTCGAACATTTTACGTTTCAGTGAAGCATTTAATCTACAAATCAAGTTTGATGTAATAGTAGCATTTTGTATAACTTCAACAGAGCTATCGAATAGTATGTAATATAAAGTAGATTGTTGCTTTATAGCATCATAGGAGAAAGTTTTGTCATGAATATTCTTTCACTATATATACAATTAAATAATGCCATCTAAAGAAAAAAGGGCAAGAAGAACATTGTGTCATATTCTTATATAACATTCAATAGCGAAAAGAATGATCTGTCATTTGATATATAAAGCTCAAATAAAACTTTGTAAATGAACAATGCATATCACAAGTCTAGACTAGATGAAATGGAGGGTATTGAGTTTTAAATCAGCCGTCCATATTCAGAATGAGGACTAACTGATTATTTCGAACATTAATCCAGTTCTTGAATTCAAATTGATTATTTGAGAAAAAATGAAACTTAATTTCGAAAGGGGACTATTTCATTACTTAACGACATCCTCCTTCTATCTATTATTTGTTGACAATCATTATTTAAAATAGTCATTGTTTTTTTGTATTTCGTTCTGCATGTGTCGTTGTTATTTATTTTATCCGTTTTCATTCGGGTTACTGAGTACATCGTTTGACTAATCATGTAATCAATGGATCTTGATAAACATCGAATAATTGAATAAGATAAATAATTACTGGTTCCTACTACATTGCTGATTTTCTAAGTACAATTATTCAGCACTATTAAAAAGTCACGTTGATCGATTGTGGAAAATTGATTCCCACATTCTCACTTTTATATCTTTACTACTACAAGAGAAATTATTATCAAATAGTATATCATTTGAAAGACTGGTACGCATGCATACTCAAAGCACTTATTAAATATTAGATTAACGATTATTTCTTTTTTGCATATAAACTGATTTTATCGCCCTTCAAAACTTATGAAAAACCCCGCATGAGCGAGATAGTTCCGTAAAGATATCCAAATAGGTTCAAGAATTATGATCATTCTACTCCAACTATTGTTTTACAAAAAAACAGCTATTTATTGCTCCTTCAAGATGTATAACTCAGCGATAGTTCAATACATTAGCTTAAAAATGGTCAAGAAGCTTTTTCTATATCTTAACATTATTTACTTCAAGTGGTAGAATGAACTGTTATAACATAAGAATATGGCATACGGATCTTGCCAGTATCGAGGATACAGAGACAATAATATTCGAACAAACAAATCTAATTTTTTTTGTACGAAAAAAGACCATAGATTGTAGTTAAATTTCAGGTGAAAATATTCAAAATTAATCATGTATTTTGGTAAGCAACAAGGCTAACTTTAGTAGGCAATCTTTTAAAGTTATGAAGCTTATGTCACAAATTGGTTCAATCCATCAAAACTCAGTTTTTCACTTGATCAAGCGAGATTCTAATGTTGCAATTGACTTACATGTCGGATGAAATATGAGTACACACGAATTTTCAGATCTTAATTTTTTATGGAGACTGAGATCCGAGAGAGGGAGGCGAAAAAATTTTTGTCTAGGGCTCGTAAATAACGGTGAAATTTAATTTTCCTTTTTGTCTTTGGAAATGAATATAAATGTTTTATTTATCTGAAAATAGAATTTTTAAGATAAGTGTTTTTTAATCATAACGATAATGTTTTTTAATCTAATAATTGTATTTTTTAATCGTTGTAGTTTTTCATAGAATAATTGAATATTTTCTTGATCAATATCTTTTGTAATTATTAAATATTTTCGAATATAAATTAATGTCCATGATGTATAAATAATCCAAATATGATATTTTACTAAATGATAAATTAATTTTTCAAATACATAATTACTTAAAATTATATTATTTAGATTTTTATCATTATGAAAATTATTCATTAAATATTTTGACCATTTTTCCATATGAAAACAACGTATTGCACGTAATAAACGAAGACGCATATCCAATGAAAGATTATATTGAATTAGGTCTTTATTTGAACAAATCATTAAACGTGACATATCATTATTCATTTTATTCATTAAATCACAAGCATTAGAATGCGAAAAACCAATATGTGAAAGAAAACTTATAGCTACACTTAACGATGTCATTTTTCTTTCAAATAGAAAATAAAGAAATAATCATCATCGAAAATACAGATTATGATTATGCTTGATTGAGAATAATGACCAGTGAAACTCATGTTAAAGCAGATGACGCCATAAATCAAGAAAATCGACGTTTATTTCACAATTTAAAAGACTAGGAATATATATGCAAATCGATTAGTAAACTTTTCGACTTGTGCTGGAGAACTTCTCTAAATGATGAAAGGCTTTGTAGACGAAACTTGTGTCGATCGGTTGAGACTAAGCAAAACCTTCAATAATTCATGCGCTAGTTGCTTTTCTTTTCGAGTTATGGGCGTTTTACTGACTTTCTAGACTAATGCAGAATGCGTTTAAAACATTCAATGCTATGATTTCGACCTGAATTTTTGTTCATGAAGACATCTTATGAACAGTATCACACATGAAAATTTATCTTCCTCATTAAGTATCATATACTCAACAAATTGGTATTGTTACAAAAGACTCACGAGGGAAGGTCGTCAAATGTGGCTCACCGATCGAGTTCGTCTTTCACTCATACGTAAGGCTCAATGAGACTAAAAGAGCCCTAAAAGAATTTATACCCAGACGAGGTTCTTCTGAAATCATGACTATTTTACTGTTTTTTCAGCTGGTAGCTTGGTGTTTGTAGAAAAATTGGACGAAGAGATATTAATCTGGAACATTGCCTATAAAGAAGTTTCACGCCTAATACACCGTTCTAAAAAAGTTTTAATCGAAATGAATGATTCCTTCTACAAACATGCAACAGAAAAATACACGATTTTTCATAGAAAGGAGAACAAATCCATATTTCTAGAAAAAGTTATACATTACAATTAAAACTTTCACGACCGTGCATTGGCTGTGAAACTTGTTTAAAGAAAAAGATTCGGTTTAAGATCATCCTTTTCTTCGATCTTTCTGCTTATACCGAGCCACAAGTCGAAAAGTTAGTAAAATAGACATAACTTCAGAAGAACTTCCATTCGGAGATGAATTCTTTTAGGACTCGTCTAATCTCATCGAGCTCTACGTATGAATGGAAGATGAGCTTGATCAACGAGTCACACTTGAAAACTTTCTCTCTATAGAAAAATTTGACTTTCTTATAAATCTTTTATCGCAAGAAAAAAAAACGCTAGTCTTAGTTGAATCTTTCGATGTATCATAGAATTCATAAGATCTTTTCATAAGCAAAATCTTAGGTCAAAATGATAACATTGAATTTTTGTTTGGCGCTCTCTACCCTAGTCGAGAAACTGAGTAAAATGTTCATAGTTCGCAAAGAAAAGTAACACGGTCACAAATCATTTGAGGTTTTGCTTAGTCCCATGAAGGAAGGTGTCCATTGTCTGTTTGCCCTAAACTCTTGCAGTTTTACTAAATTTTTTTTATTCTCGGCAATATATTTGTGAAAAACCAAAGTACGAAATTACAGCCTAAAGAGATGTGTTCTTCTTGAAATATTGAATATCTGAAAATAATGATGAGTCACATACAGAGGGTAAGAAAGTTCAATGTTTTCAAGATTCGATATCTCAAGAAGAACACATCGTTTCAGGTTGAAATTTTGTAGTTCAATTATTTCACAAATACATTGCCAAAGATAAAAAGCTAGTTAAAATTGTAGTAAGTTGAGAAGGATAGCGCCCGTCTGACGACAAACTCTTATAGATTTCTACTAATTTCGTCGGAGCTTACTAATTGGTGAGGCATACTTGGAGACATTCCCTTGTCAATGAGATAAGTCTTGTTGGAAAAACGGTGCTAGGAAAATTCGTCGCATAACATATTAGTCTTAAAGTATCCTGAAGGAGCATTGAAAGTAGATGGATTAGAGTGTTAATTAGGGCACACAAAGGCTCTCACTCGTGGCGTATTGTTCAGTCACTGTTAAAAGTTTTTAAACATCTTGAAAGGCTACTTCATTAGATAAAACAAAATGATGTTGATGAGAATTGATTTCAAAGAGATTATTTATGATATCGCGAAAAAAAAAGCATACATTGAATTTAAAGTGTATGAAGAAATATGAATAATTAAATGATGTACTTAGTTTTAATAATTAGTTTAATGTTTATCATATTTTATATTGATTTGTTGTTTATTTTAAAAATTCATTCATTGGTTCAATTTTATCTTTAATATCAGAAAACCATTGCCCATTACTTGAGAAATAATCATAGTCAGGCAGTGCATCATAAAATTCACACTGTTCATTTAAATGATTCTTATTCATTTTTTCTTGCTGTGAATATTTAAAATTTGCATAATGTGTATCATCTTTATTAATTTGCTTATCATCTTCAAAGACAGCACCAAGTTTAATTGCAATCCTTAATTATTCAAATAAGAAAAAAAAAAGTCAAAGAATTAAAAATAACAATCATACAAACCATTCGAATTTTTCAAAAATATTTTCTTTTATTAAATCAAAACACATTGCTAACACAGCTAAACCAACAATTATATAAAGAGAAGTGGCCAGGAAACGTAAACTGTCTGTTGAACCTGACGTTATACCCGGTACCTTAATTAAATACATGTATATACAAATAAATCTATGAAAACTTATTTTTTTTGTTTACATACATAATCACCGAATCCAATAGTAGATAAAGTAATATAACAAAAATAAACCGATTCAGTTATTGTCCAACTTTCAAACTGATGACACATAAATGCTCCCAAACAAATATATCCAATAATAATTAAAATTATTACTAAAATAGGTACTTGACTTTCAATTCGATTCCAAACATCATCTATTTCTTCATCACTACCATCTTTATAATTACTTAATTGATCTTTATTAAACTGATCATACACTTCTGGCCAACTTGGATCAACGGAGGTCGTACCTACATAATCGATTTTATACGGGTTAAACGATTTTTCTGAATGTATTGAACGATTTTGAGAACGCGTATGAATACGGCAACAACAGCAAACACAATGAATAAATGTTGAATACATCAAACGAAAGATATCACTCAGTATAGAACTTATCTTTGCTAAACAAATAAGAAATATTGGAATGCCAGTCAATGCATAGCAAATACATGTGATTTGTCCTTCCCTTAAAAATATTAAAAAACAATGATTCATTGTTTTATTATTATTTCATTTTCATTGTTTTACCATGATACTGGTGTTATATGTCCAAAACCAATTCCTGTTATGATTGTTATTACAAACAGTAACGCTGATGGAAATGTCCATCCTGATGTTGTTGAACAATCTTGTCCTGTATAACGTAAATTGTTTTTACGATCATAAATATCATTTGTAAAATTATTCAAATAATCAACTATTTGTTCATAGATTATTGTTGTATTATCAGTTGATACAACAACATAATTATACATTGTTTCAGATAGATTTGCGATTGAAATATCTTCATCTACTATAAAAAGAAAAAGAATTTAAAGGAACATCAATTCAAGAATATCATACGTACAACTAGCTAGTTTACAATTTTGTAATTCAATATACTGTTCGAGTAAAATAAAAAGAAATGTACCACCAATACTATAAGCAACAACGAAAATAGTCAAACCAAGATTCGAAGCAAGAAATTGTATAAATAAACGATAGAATGTTTTATCTTGATCATGAGTCTCTTCAGTTGTTGATGTGGTAATATGAGATGGTCGAGCAATCGGCATCTTACTGTAAGCTTGCTTATGAAACTTGTAATTAAACAAAAGAAATTTTTTTCTTTTTTGCTTTGATCAAACAATGATAACATTATAGCCGACAAGAAAAATAAAACGGAAGAAATATATACTTTCTTGATTGAATAAGGAAACTAAAACAAAGATGAGTGTCAACAAAACAAAAACACTTAAATAAACAATATATATTTAATAAAATATCAAAAAAGAAAAGAAAAGAAAAAATAACCGAAAAAAACTTTGAGAATGATATTGATGAAAGTTATTTTTCCTGAACATTATAAAAAGAAAATGTTTAATCGTGTGAAGATTTTTTGAAAGAAACATTCTTTTCATAAAAAATTAAAAGACATATTTATTTTCTCTTTTGATAAAAGCAATAAATTATTAATTAGTCATAGAGAATGATGGATCTAAATGTTGTCTTCCATTAGACATAAGTTGCGAACTAAAGACACTTTACAAATTATATTCAATTTAATGTATTTTCATGAGCGACAATTACATTATGATTTTTTTTTCGTGAACTCTTACATAGTAGAATCTGATTTCTCTCAATTATTTATTAAAATAAATTGTTACAATAAATTTTCAAAGGTCACATTGATCTTCTACTGAAAAGTTTTGAAGTATTAAGTAGCTTTATATAAAAAACAGAAAGCAATATTCAAAAGTAATCGATAAAAAGTTCAGTTTATCTAAGCTTAGGAGGGAACTACACCACCTGACAGTCGCTGTCTGTGGTCATAATATAGGTCAAGAAAGAGGTCTCGTTGAGATGAGCACAGGTCTGAAAGAGATCATCTCCATGAGTTTTTGACACTGTGTGATGATCAGTTAACTTGATTTTCGTCTTATTTTTAGGTACTGCTGAAAAAACTATATAACGAAATTTCGAGGTAAAATTTTTCGCATCGACACGTATATTATCTTTGATAATATTCCGTGACAAATGGCTATTTTTAGAAAATCAATATCTTGATGAAGGAATATTTTAAGAGTCATTAGACCTATCTACAGACAAAATTTTATATCGAAATTCAATGAATCGAGTTTTCAGGAATTACCTACAAATAAGTTGAAAACCCAGTTAATCAGTCAAAACTCAGTGCTAAAGGCCTATATACAGACGAACTCTTAGATTTTTGATAGTCTCATCAAGATCTACAGATTAGAGCTCAACAGATTGGTCCGAATTTAAAAATTTTGAACCTGACGGACTCTACTCTTTGTAAGCGCAATATAAGTTCAAACAGCGAACACCAGCTGGTATGATTTCCTTGTTAATCTAACAGATCCATCATTATTTATCTCTAACTCTTTACATGAATCAGTAAGTCTGATGAATAATTCCTTGAAATTCTCGATCAAATTTTTTTTATTTCAAAATGTTTTATTTTTCTTCATCTTATTCTTTTATTCTTCATAACTTCTGCTCACTCATTCACAAAAAGAAAAAAAAAAGATAAACTAAAACGAGAAACGCATGACATGATGATAAATGAGATGTCAGATGTTACAATGTTTCTCACGAATACGCAAACAAAATCAACGACATAAACAGGACAAAGGCTTTTTTATTTCGGCTTTAACATGAAGAAAACTAACAAGTTAAACACAAACACAATGACCAGAACGGTTTAGAGAATAAAATAGTGACGAAGAAAAAAAAAGATAAAAACGACGCTTTTTATTTTTGTTGTTTCTTGTTATAATTTTTTTTTGTTAATAATTCTTCTTATTTTCTTAAACGGTTGTTTAGACTGATGATTGACCTCCATCTTGACCGCCGGTTTGATTGTCATTGTTCTTTAAAAAACCGAGAAAAACAATTTAAAACAAATATATTTCAAATCAAAATTGTTGATGAGTATAATAACAAAAAAAAACACTTACATCGTTATTTCCATCATTACGATTTCCTTGGCGAGCTCCGCGGAAAAATCGTCCACGACCACGACCACGACTACGAAAAGGTCCACCACGACCACGAAAGCCTGAATAACACGATTAATTATTTTTGTTTTCTAGACAAAAAAAAATTACTTACCACCCATTGGTGGACCCATTGGACCTGGCATAGGACCCATTGGACCGCCTAACATTGGACCACCACGACCGCGAAAGACACGTGGTCCTCGACCTAAGCAAAAACAAAATCAACTTCAAGATTGAATTAAAATAATCTTTTTAAAAAAATTTACCAGCAAAATCGCCATCATATCCATAGCCGCCTCGAAGTGGGGGTCGTCCACGACCTAAATAAATTAAACTAGAGTTTACTAAAAAAAAAGGAAAAAAAAAAATTTCTTTACCTCGTAACATAGGACCACCGAAACCTCGACCTGGTCGAGCAAAAGGTGGACGTCCGACCATTGGTGGTGGACCATAACCTTCGAATGGTTGACCAAAACCTTGATTATAACCATTATCAAAACCACCTCCTCGACCTCAAATATATTGTGTCTATAAGAATTTTATTTTCTCATTAATATTTATTAACATACCTCCACGGAAAGGTCCACCACGGCCACGGAATGGTGGTCGACCGCCACCTCGTCCTCCACGGAAACTGCCACGTGTATTATATTGTCGACGATCAGCTGCATATTTGGAACCTTGTACACTGTCGCCATTAGGACCAGTTACATTTGCGGCTTCATAACCTTTTTCACCTAAACAAAAGAAAAACCGCAATTTTATATGAATAAAAAAAAACTTTTTCTAAGAAATTACCTTGTACAATATCAAATTCGACTTTTTCTTCATCACCAACACTACGTAAGTACTTTCGTGGATTGTTCTTAACAATAGCTGTTTGATGAACGAAGATGTCCTCATTAGTATCTTCCCTAAATTTCGAAAACAAGAAAACAAATTGTTAATTATTCTATTAAATTTCATAAATAAAATATACCGATGAATAAATCCATAGCCGCTTTTAACATTGAACCATTTGACTGTACCAGTCACTTTTGTTGCTAGAACAAAAAAAAAGAGCAAAAAAATCGTTAGTTATCTTATCTTACAAGCTGTTGCTTGCTGCATTTCATTTATAATAACGCGCACAGTATGATGAAGAAATAGAAGAGAAAAAAAAGAGAAAAACAACTTGTTTCTTACCGATGACATTTTTACCATTGATTTGTTTTGGATCATCAGTGCCCGAACCGGCTTGATCTTGTTGTTTATTGGCATCAGATTTTTGATCTGATCCAGTATTTTGGTTTGTTGCCACGTCGTTTGATGACATGTTAACCTAATTAATAATTATTTTGTTTTTATTTATTTGTTTGTTTGTTTGTTTGTTTGTTAATAAGCGCGGTTGGTTCACGATAAAGATGTTTGACTTATATTCGTTTGGGCTGTTACTGCGCTTGATGTTAAATTTTATTGTAAAACGCTCGGGCGCGTATGATGGTGTTGGTGAATGGGCTTGTGCTGCTCTTATTCTAACGCATCTGAATGATGAATGATACGACCATTTTTGTAGACAGCAAAAACACGCGCCGAACGCAACAAGAGAAAAAGAGCGAAAAAGAGAAAAGAAAATCTATTTTTCACTCTCTTTGTATTAGTTATCGTGCATTTGGCACGTGATTATGATAGAAAAGAAGAAGAGAAAATTTGTAAAGCATAGCAGCCCTTCATCACTAAATACAAAGAGAACGATCTGGAATTATTTTAGGGTCGATGCAACAGCAGTACTATATATATATTCTGTTGTCCAGGGGGTAAAAATGAAGAAGAGAAAAACGAGAAGAAGAAGAAGAAGAAGAAACGACTTTTCATTTGAATACGTGCCAAGAAAAAGAAAAAGAAGAAGAAGAAGAAGAAACATAATGACGACATCTACCCTTTCGCTCTATCATCGTTCTTGTATTTAGTAGAGATCATATTAGGACATATATCGATCATTATCCAGGGGTCAGGCCAAATATGTACGAATGCCCTGAGAAGCAAGTTCACAATTTTATTTATATAGAAAATAAATAAGGATAAATTTTGTTTTGTTTATTTGTTTGTTTTAAAGTTGTTTTTAATAAATAACTGTATATATTCTTATTCGGTTAAAGGTCGAGCTTTCAACATTAATAAAGAATAACATATGGCTAGCTACTTGATATTGGACTCTCTTTCAACCGTTACTATTAATGGAAATATATTTATTATTTTTAGAAAATGTACGAATAAATTTATTTGAAATAGTAAAAAGAAGAATTATATCATAGAGATTTTTATTTTGTAAATTAATAACAAAGTAATTGCCTTATATTTGTTCTAATTGTAATAGCGAATAATTATATCAACTTTATATATTGAAATTTTTCTGTGATATTATACGTTAATATGATAAATTGGTCCGTTTATTTTTGTTATGAATAGTTTGTCTCCTAGTAATTAAACTTGTTAATTGAGAAGGAAATAGAGCTGGTTGCAAAAGAAAAATGGAAAATGTAAATGGTTTTTTTTATATGTCAGATCATATGAAAATCGGCTTGTTTAAGACAACGGAAAAATAGGAAATGAGTAACTGAAAGAAGAAGCATTTATGTTAAGAAAAAAACTGAATATTTATCGATGTTTTGGCATAAATGATATTCGATAACAAACATTATTTTAGTGCTTGTTTTTGCCTAAAAACCATTCTAATTGTAGTTCATTCATAGAAATAATACACGACGAAAATTCCCATTAAAAAATTTTTTCTTTCGTCAAATATTCTTTAGTTTCACATATTTTAATACCACTGTAGTGTATTCACAAAATCTATAGGAGGTAGAAAAGCATATTATGAAGAAGTAGGAGATTGAAAAATGACAAATTGAACTTTGTTGATTTATTGATCGTGTAGTGTAGCATTCAAGATGATTTCTATACATGGATATCATACTTTTTGATTTAAATGCCTAGAATATAATGAAAGTAGCTGCTACGACTGAATAATACGGACTGTCTGTGTATATGGAAAGGTCTAGTATTGCAATGAAAGAATTTTAAGGTAAACTGGTCTTATATTCAGAGATACAGGTAAAATAAATTGTGGGAAAAATTTTGTCTACGTAAGTATATTCGGACAGCATCCTAAACTGTAAGATACTCTTCTTATTCTACATTGGAGATTGATTCGTCTTGTGTAACTTCGTCGGAAGATTTTTTTTTACATATTCATTTAATGACATAGACATCAGTTCGAATGATTGGTAGAAAAAAAGAAGTTTTTGACAGTTTCTTCGAGTGAAACAAATCATATATATTTTTTTGTAACCAGCAATCGACTAAAGAATTTTGAGTGGTTTTTCAGTCATATCAGTAAGGCATAAAATTTGTTGTATTATTGCTTTTTCTTCTCCACTGATATCTATGACGAACAGTCAAAAAAATCTTCGATATTATTGAATTATTAAATTTCTGAAAAGAAATCAAAGAGAATATCTATTCAAAGTTTTTCATCTAGTTCAATATTGTTTATATATCACCAAAATCTACAGGTTGCATGACATATTTTTCAGATATTAAGACAGATGTAACTTTTCATAGATATATCAAAAATTCATACAAATAGACGAATAGAAAAATGCAAAGTATCAATCTTATTTTCGTTACATTCCAAGTTTGATTTATATAACAAAAATAATATTAGATGAACATTTCGTATTCAATGATATACATCTTTTTTTTATTTTGAAAAGGTACTAAAAGTTGTCTTGTGCTTAGAACTTTTAAAATAATGACATGCATCTCTATGAAGTAATCAAGTATTTTGTTTGAAGTTCTATTCGATGATATCATTATATACATATATATTGTACGATTTTCAGTAATCCTATTTATCCATAAGAAAAGTATTACAAGAGCTGATGCTTTATTTGTTTCTTATTCTATATCAAATTCTATGCTGTGTCGAACATGTTTTAAATATTAAGTCTAATTAAAAACATAAGTTTCTACATGTTTGACTTTATGTAAGTGAAGAATACGTTAAAAGATATCCTATGTGATATTTACTATTGAAATAATTTTAAGATTTATTTAATATATGTATGGCATTTTAATCATTTGAAGATAAGATATACTTTGCTATTTTTAGTGAAGAAAGATTGTTATCATTTCTATCTATCAGTTTGAAAAATAGTTTCTTTTCTTTTATCGCGTTATTTTTATTACTATTATGATGATGACAACAACAAAGCAACCGAACGAAAAGAAAACTGGTCGATTCTTTTTCAAATCTAAACGTAAATAATCAAGTTTTGTCTGTTTGTCATCTTGCTTTTTTTCTTATCAGACCACGGTCAATAAAATTTGTTACAACAATATAGACCTGTTTTCAAGGTAACATCATTATATCATAGTAAGCTTTTCTTTTTTACCAACAATAACAAGCAAACAACATGCTACAAACACACTTGTAGATATTAAAAAAACACCGGATTTTGGATCATGTTAGAAAACGATAATGTTACAGTTCAGCAAAATTGTGCTTCATGAATATAAAATCTATGTAAAAAAATTGTTTGTGAAAATATTTGGCATCTTTTATTATTGATGAACTCTAAAATTTTACGTTTTATTGTTCTATGATTTTTTTTGAAGCTATATAATTACTTTCCAATACATCAAGAGTTTTGTTTCTTTTTGAAAGATAAGACACTCGTCTCCAGACAGGCATAAATTTATATATCTGATTGCTTTCATATGCTGTGACGAACAACGAAATAGTCTTGTAAGACTTATTTAATATACATCTTATTAATAGTATCAATAATGACAAACTTTGTGTGAGTGAATTGATGTCTTGGTGTAATATCTGTATCATTTATTTGGCAGTGAAAAAGATAAATTCTAAGATCGTTTGGTTTTTGACACATCCGTAATAGAACTGTCATAGAGCAATGCGAGTAAACTTTCTGTTATGATCTATTATGTAAATATCATGTTCTTCTATTTCATATGCGAATGAACATATGAAGTAATTTGTTACAACATGCATAGATACTGATACTATTCATGACTTTTTTTCCAAAGACTTTTGAGAAGATAGCGTTGAATTTGAAGTACGGAGTGACCCAAAAATCCAGTGTGAAAAGAATGGTAGATGTTCTTCAACCAGTACGAGTGATTTACAAGTTTTTTTTTGTAATATTATAACGTGTGCTTTAAAATCTTTTATTTTTTATAAAAAAAAAATATTCAAAAGAACTACCATAAACTGAAATACGAAAATCATGTCTTTTCGAAGTATTTGAAAAAACACTGCAAAAAATTTATTATCGAATTACTTTATTTCCGTTATCGATTATCATTTTAAATTCAACCAGGTTTTTATATATGTCATATATACATTGATTTTTACTTTATCTTCATCAATAAATCATATGAATGGAAAGCAAATTCGTTCGGAAAAAACGAATTTTGTTGATTGTTGATGTTTTCTAGCATTAATATTAAAGTTATTTCACATTGATACGATCCTGTAAATCTTCTTTGCTGGAATAGAATAGGCAGTTGCAACAGCCCAAAACACTATGAATTTTTTTGATTTTTTCTTTTGTGATTTGTGAATGTTTTTCAGTGTGTTATCGATTTGCTAATGTACAAATTTTACAAAAGCGTTGAAAACTATCTCTAGTATAGTCTACATCTGATATTTATGCATCAAATTCAGCTTATATTTTTCGTTTCATAGCTATAGATGATTCAAATTTGATCATCAATAAAACTATCTCTAAGCGCAGATATTTATCTGAAAATATGTGAAATAAAACTTCACGAAGCATACTATTATATTATTTAAAAAAATTATATAAATCGCTGAAATTGATTGAAATATATTTACATTACTTTTAACGGCAAACTTTTAGGACACTATATTTGTTAACCTTATCCGTTCAATGATATGAATTGACGAGGAAATATTTTCAATTGATCATTTGCTTTCTCATCAAAAACTGCTGGAATATGGGTTATCGACCATGCCGATTTTGAATACGATAATAAGAAATATCCTTCAATCTCTGTATACTAATTTTCTAGAAAACCATCATGTGAAAATGAAGACATAAGAATAGTTAGAATAGTCATATTCTGAGTCAGCATAATTGATAAGCAGTAAGGAAGTAGCTTTCGTTTAAAAAAGTGACTAATCAATTGATTATCTAAAGGAAAATGATCATTAACTTCAATGATATCAATTCATTTTTCATTTCAAATTCAAATCAAAATAGTAAAGTGAATTATTTTTATTCTTTT